AAAAAAAGAAAAGCCTTTGGGCTCAAAAAAAGCCATGTGGGCTGAGTGAAGTACAAGCATAAAAAGAAAAAGAAAAGCCTTCGGGCTCAATGGAGCAAGAATTGTATAAGGTTGAAGACAGGAAAGCCTTCGGGCTCAAGAGAGATGAGCCTTTATATAGGCTGAAGCCCAAATTTTTTTTGTGCTGCAATTGTATTCTAACATGTTTGAATACAAAACCCATAAGTTTTATTGGTAACATGAGGGCTTGGGATGATACAGAGTGCAATTCCAAATGCATATTTGAAAAGAGTGCATTCATTGGATACATGAAGTTTTGGCTGCAAGCACAGCATGTTCGCTGTCCTCTGCAGGGGTGATTGATGAGTTTGCAGGAAACCGAAACTGCTTTAACTAATATACATATGTGCCTATACATGTCAGAATGCATGCCTGCATGTGGCAACATGTTTGAAACAGTTTGGGAATTCGGAAAAGTTTTGGAATTATCCAGCCATGGCTGCAGCAGAAGTCTGCTTGGAAGTAGAAGCTTTGCTAAAAACACAGCTGCCCCCTTTGTCCAAGTGGCAGGCTCTGGTGAAGGTTTTGGAGCAGCATGGCTTGGCTTACAAATGCCAGGTAAAAGCCACAGAGCTGCTTGTTCATCCTTTGAACCGGGCCAAGCTGGGATTGATAGCACATAATGTGCACAGTAAAGGAGCAAGTCTGCTAAGAGGTGGGTTTGACCTGCAGATGCTCCACTCCAGCACATGTCACTCATCTGCATGAAGTAGCATGTTTTGTTGATGACGACTGCACTTCCAGATGAAAATGCCATGTCAGGCTTTGAAATGTCAGCATCGGAAACTGGCAGAGCAGAGCAGGTGGCATTCAACACCCGCCTCAGCCAGCAAGCTGGTGGATTGCTGGCTGATGTTACAGGGTTGGAGCGATATTGCACAGTAAGCTCAGGGCACACTGCAGCTTTTGTAAAAGCAGTTTGCTCTGGGTGCCTCACTTCCGAACCTGAGCTGGCAAGCAGCAAGGAAAGCCAGAGGCTGAACAAGGAGGAGCTGTGCCAGAGGGACCGAACCCTGAAGACCATGGTCGAAGAGGGATGGACATGGACAGTGATAGCAGCTCGAGCAGAGCAATCTTTTCCCCAGTTGGCAGCCTTGGCTGAGGTGGCTTTGAACAGCTCGAATGCCAGCTTTCAGCAGCAGCTGGAGGTGGAACTGGCACTTCAAATTGCCAACTTGGCAATGCAAACAACACATCAGGAAAAGGTTGACTTCAGCAAGTTGGCTGAAAATGTTTGCATGAGCACTCAGCTTGCCAAGTACTGCAAGCACATTGGGCTTTGGGTTGAGAGATACAGCGATGATGGCAAGCTGGTGACATTCCTGGCAACATTCACAAAAGATGCTGAAAGTTGCTTTCTGGGAGAAGAATTCTGGCAAGCGGCTGCTTCCAGCTTGTGGCCCAAAGACCTGAGGCCCTTGTGCCGAGTTGCTCTCATAGCTACAGGGCTGACAGCTCCCCCTATCAAGATTGTGGATGGGTTGTCCAAACTTATCACTCGATCCGATTGGGACAAATTGAGAGGCAAGAAGCTGCAAGCTCCATTGACAGACATGGAGAAACAGCTTTATGATGCCTGGAAGCTTGTGGATTTGGGCGAAGTGGACATGATCAGGGCATTCGGTCGGCTCTGCATCAGAAGCACTTTGTGGCTGTTGGGTAAGGAGAACCTTTGCTGCCAACATAATCTCATGTTTGTGTATATTAAGTTTGAAAGATGTATAGCCGCATGCATGGATCTGAGGAAGATGGGCAGGGAGGGCAAGAAGCATGACAGCTTGGCAGCATGCTTTGCACTTTTTCAGCAAGAAGCCCATCCTGGCCAAATTCCAGCAGTTCCTGCTTCTGCAAGCAGCTCCACTCCAACAGCAGCTACCATGCTCAAACTTGATGATGCCTACGACCCTCTGTTTGTAGCCAAGCAGAAGGTGAAGCTGGAGGTTGGTAACTTCTACACCATGCCCTCGAAGGAGCATAAGGTCTTCAAGCTCACCAGCATGGACCCTGGAAGTTTGGTTCTAGAATGGCAAGATTTGTTTCAAAGAGGCCAAGAGAAAGTTGTGATTTTTCCAGAAGAAGGTCCTAAGCTTTTGAGGCCTTGCAAAAGTGTGCCGTCCTTGCTGCCCCCTGAGAAATTTGAAGCCCAGCAGCCCAATGTGTACTTGAAGCAGCAGCTGAAAGAAACTGAAGCTTGGGTTGCTCTGCTCAAGGCTTACAGCAGCAAATTTTCAAGCACGAACTTGTCGAGCTTGCTAGCTATTGAGCCTCAGAGCAGGAAGCTTTTTGCTTTGACAAGAATTAGCAAAGGGCAACTGGTGTTGATGCCTGGCACAGATGCTGTCAGCAAACTCTGCTTGACAGAGCCGGATGGCAAGCAGAACTATGGTTGCATGACTTTCGAGGGTGTTGAATATTACATCCTGCCACCATCTCTGTTCAAAGATGAGAAAGGCAGCACAGCACCCTACTGGTACATTCCTATTGCCGAAGACCAGGCAGATGCCAACATGGATTTTCAAGATGTTGTGATCAGCAAAGGTGTGTCCATCACATGCCTTGTCAATTCGAAAGCTCTGCAACAGCAACAGCAGCTGCAGGTGTGGGACTGGAAAGATGTCAAGCAGCCAAAGGCCAAGAAGGCCAAAAAATGATGTCTCACACATCAGCATTTGGCTGAATTTTCAGAGGCATGAGCTCCAGCATGCATGGCTTGAGAACACTGAAGACCCATGCCAGTACAGCACCATCATTGTCTGCACTGTGATCTGAAAAGCCATGCTGCTTGGGGGGTACAGCATAGCCATGAGGTTATGACAATTTTCGAGCAACTTGCAAGAAGAAGCAAAAAATCCTACGCACTCAAAACTGCAGATTTTGTTTTGTGAGCATAACACCAAACATTGCCATTGCAAAAAGCACACATGTTGTAAACAAGTGGTTGTGTTTGGAGAGCTGTGAGGCTGTGACTGCAAGCCTGTGTTTTTTTGCACCTGCCTCCTTCTGGTGTAGCTTGATGGCTGTGACACTGAAGCGAAGCTACTCGGTGCACTTCGAGGACACTGGTCGAACTTGGAACCTCCCTGAGAGTTTGATGAGGCCCCACAATGGGCAATGCTGGCTCCAGATGAGGGTTTCCAATTATGGGCTGTGCAAGCTCTTGGGCTGCTCTGTCAGCAGCAAGAATGTGAGCATCAAAAACAGCCCAGGCTTGAAGGACCTCATGCGTCAGCGGAATGTTTTGTGTGGCTTGGAAAAGGAGGTGGATGGAATCTTTGGTGGTGGGGACCAGGCAGCCACAAAGAAAAGAAAGAGAACCCCAGCTGTTGTTGACTTCAACAGCCACTTGAGCTTGAATGTTGGAGACTTGGGGCATCTCAAGGTCTGGCCAGCCAGGAAGAAAACAGATGATCTTCAGGTGGCTTTGGAAGAAGATGAGCTGCAGAAGTTCTTCACCTTTCTGAAGAGCAAGACCTTGAGCTTCGATGGCAGCAGCAGGAGCTACCAGAGGTCTGGCCACTTCAAGAAGGACAAAAAGGATGGCAAGAAGAAGAAGAAGGTCAAGCCTGATGTTGTCATCGGAGATGATGAGGATGGCCAAGAGGAGGCTGAGGAGGAGGAGAGCAGTGACACAGAGGAGCAGTCCTGAGGCTTGCACTTCTTGCAGCATCTTTGAAAGTAGCTGCATGGTTTGGAGATTTGGGGCCACAGAAACATGTGTGCCAAGCAGCTTTCATGGCTTGCTTCGAAACCAATATATTGGTAATTGAAGGAGAAACATGTTTTGCTAAAACATGTGTGTTTCAAAGCAAGAAAAACAGCTTGCTTGGAGCTTGCTGTTGTTCATGTTTTCCATTTGTGCAGCAAAAGCATTCTTTGGCTGGAAAAAACAACTTGCAAGGGCAAATACATCATGCTGAGAAATGCAAGAATCTCAGAGCTGCATAGCAGCAACACCTTCACATGTGCAAAAGCTTTCGAGCTGGGTCAAAAGCCTGCAAGGCTGCATGGCTTGTTGGGATGTGTTGTAAAGTGTTTTGCATGGCAGCTGTTGCTAGCTCAGTGCTGCAACTAAGCAGACAGGCAAAGCTGGATGCTTGGAAAGCATATGTGCTTTTATTCACAAAAATGTAAGAACATATTATGGAATACTTGTGAATGGTGTTTAAAATCATATCCTTACAAATTCCAAGCACCTAGCTTGAAACCTTTGCCTGTTGAGGGTAAGTGCGAAAACCGGAGCATGTCTTGCAATGCAGAGAAATTTCAACAGGACCTGCACAACATTTCCTCACACTTTCAGGCAGTGCCAGTAAAGTAAAGTTGTCTTTGGAAATAGCCTCTGTGCTCTGCAGCCATGCCCACCTGCTTCTTGAATGGTGAATTCAATTTCGCCTATACTTCAGCATTGGTGCTGCACTGCAAACCGGGGCTTCACTACTTTGATGAGCACGAGTACCTGGACAATAATGCTTGTGCTATTTGTGATAAGTATTGCACCCTTTACTTCCCTCAAATTTAAACTAA